AGAGTCTGGGGTCTGGTGATCATTTTTTGTCACCTTCTGACAAGCCAAGTCAATGGGGAAGCCAGATTCACTTAACAACCATGTTACTAACTTAACAACTGCAGCGATTCGCTTAACAACTGTGGCAAGAAAGGTCATAAAATGGGGCAAAATTCACTTAACACCTGTCTTACTTAGCAATGGAAAAATTGGCTAAATTGTGGTTGTAAGTTGAGGACTACCTATATACTGTGCGATGATATAACTACATAATTAACTATGATAGAAGCTGCTTCAATATGTAATAAATAATATCCATTGCCTTTCTACATTGTTCATAGGTCTGACAGTGCTCTTCTAGGCAGCTTCTGCAGAGGAATAAATTATTCTGCTCAAACTCTGTACCGGATGTAATTGGGAGCACTGTATCTTCCCTAAAATGTCATATATATTTTTGTCCTTCCTTCTTCCAGGTAGGCCCAATGACATTTTTTTTTATGATGGCATCATCTGAGGATAGGTAATTATTGTATTTATGTCAAAACTGTGTGACCTTCCCAATGTTGCTGAATCTTAATTCCCCGAAAAAATTACTAATGGGGAGGGATCTGAAGCAGTGAAACTTACTTAGCAAAAGCTGGAGGACCGTAGATTCCTTATCCTTGAACTATGACCTGCTCAGAAAACATGTTGTGGATCTTAATTCAGATAAAACAAATTGCTGAAAAAATGAAAATTGGCAAGATAAGAAGTGATGTGATATGGAATGCAGGCATGCAGCATATTATGCAGGATATGGCTTGTTCTAAATTACACAGGATCCATAGAATTTCAGACATCCTTTGGTGTACACCAGGGGTGTCCAACCTTGGCAACTTTAAGACTTGTGGACTTCACAAGCAAAGCTGGCTGAGGAATTCTGGGAGTTGAAGTCCACAAGTCTTAAAGTTGCCAAGGTTGGACACCCCTGGTGTACACGCTCATCATATGTATGTACACTTAGAGCTTACGCACCGGAAACAAAATGCTTGTGTGTCTGATTCTATTTCTATTTTGTCCTATTCTGTCCTATTCTGTCCTATTCTATTCTGTCCTGTCCTATCCTATCCTATCCTATCCTATCCTATCCTATCCTATCCTATC